GACATTGTTTATAATAGTACAAGATAAGGGGTAAGTGAAAGTTTTATTTTTTTGAGGATGCAGTTAAGTGCTCATGGAAGAGATGCGTTTCCAGCTGTCTTTTGAATATTGTCAGGGATTCAGCAGTCCGGATGGGGGTGGAAAGATCATTCCAACAGCAAAGAAAAATGAACAGAAATGTTCTGGAAAGCGATTTTGTGTTTCTCAGTGATGGTACCATGAGGTTTCGCTCACTTAACAACCTCCGGCTTCTGGAGGGGATGTAGATTCATAATAGTGAGTGGAAGTAGGCAGGTGCTGAGCCTGTGGCTGTTCTACATGCAAGCATTAATGTCTTGAACTTTATGCGAGCAGCAACAGGTAGGCCAGAGCAGGGAGATAAAGAGAGGTGTAACATGGGCTCTTTTGACCTCGTTAAAGATCAGACGTGCTGCTGCATTCTGAATCATTTGAAGAGGTTTGATTGCACATGATGGAAGTCAAGCCAGAAGAGCATTGCAGCAGTCCAATCTAGAAATGAAAAGGGCCTGGGCAAGAGTTGTGCAGCATGCTCTGTTAGGAAGGGCCTGATCTTCCTTATGTTGTGCAGTGCAAATCTGCATGATCGAGCTGTCTTCGCATCGTAGTCTTTGAAGGTCAGCTGGTCACCAAAGATTACAACAAGATTTCTGACCGCACTTATTGGTAATTGTTGATGAACCCAGCTGGATGGTGAAATCGTGCTGTAGAATCGGAGTGACAGGGAAGAAAAGAAGCTCAGTCTTTGCCAGGTTGAGCTGTAGGTGTGATGTTCTTTCATCCATGCCGAGATGTCTGCCGGGCAATCTGAGATTCATGCAATTACCGTTGGATCATCTGGTTGAAATGCAAAGTCGAGCTGTGTGCCATCAGCATAGCAATATAAACCATGTGCTTGTATGATGGTCCCAGTGATGTAGTGTATGGAGAAGAGGAAGGGCTCCAAGAACTGAAGGGTCTTTTGATTTGCGCAGTTTTCTCTCTGTTGCCCTGAGTTTGGTCTGATGTTCACAAAGAACATATAGAGGGGGTAGCACATGCCGGCCTGGAGCAGAGAGGACAGACATTGTCTAGACAAGAAGTTAAAGTGGAGCATATCACCATGACTAAATGCATTAACATGTACAATAACCATCTGTACTAATCAACCATTTTGTTCTGAACTCTCTATCAGGACCAGAAACACATGCAGGGTTGGCTGCTGCTTTAAATGATTCTTCAGATGATGAAAACGCCACAGATGACAGTCTGGAAGAGGTTCAGAGTAGGTCCTGAACAGACACTAATACTCACACTAACAGTGTTTCTTCACTTCAGTCTCTCTTAGAAACGCTTGTTCAGATGTTTTTCAGGTCTGTTTCATTAATGGTTCTTCTGCGTGTCTTTCAGCTGAGGAGCTTCATGAAACTCAAAGTCTTTGTGAGGCTAAAGAGACTCCAGCAGCAGCTCGAGGTCAGAACATCTGAATTCATCATGTGCTGCAATGACTTTTCTAGGTGCAATGGGCTTTAAAAACCTCTCTTTGGCCTAATTTTGGTGAGTTTTATAGTTTTGTTTTTGTTTTATATGAAAAAAAACCACTGGTTGTGATTCCAAGGCATGGAGAGAGAAGACACCAATCAGAACACTGTTTCCCAGAATGCACTGTTGTTATCACTGCCAATTAAGATTAATACTTTCTCTTCAAATTACACTGACCTCATTGTTGTGAGAAACAAAGTTTATATTTTGTTGCTTTTAAAGATGCTGTTATTCTGTGTTTCAGGACGCTGCAGATCCAAGAACATTTCAATGACAGATCTTGGTAATATTTGTTAATTTAAACAAAATATCAATATTTATGATGTAATTCATTATATTTTAAATGTAGTTTCTGGTTAATATTTGTTTTTTAAAAA